AGCACATATTTAAATTAAAAGTTTAATGTAAAAAGGAGATATTTCATTTTTTGTTGTCTATAGAAAGTTGTTATTTGATAGTAGATCCTTCTACTTTTTCACATATTTAACGCCTGCCACCATCTTTTTGCCCCTCTAAACAATCCCAGGATTCACTGTCATCTCTTTGGGAAAAGGCTAATTGTAACACACGAAAACTTGGATTTACATTAACTGGTACATCCAACAGAGATTACCAACTTTACGCCACAAATTATGCTTTGTGGCTTCACTTTGGTTTATTTTAAGGCTTCGCCGATTTAGGCGAGGGATAAATTCAAACCAAGTTGCTTTAGGAAATAGCCAATTCAAAACAGTTTGATGCAGCTTCATATGGCACGAAATTCTGTCGCAATTTATGAAGTTAAATCTTTTAAAACGCTCTGCTTTTCAAAGATAGTGATATTATAGATTCTCTTCCATTTAAAGGTTAAATCCCCCAGTCATCCAGTGAAGGATGGAAGGATTCGGGTCAGACGAAATTATATTCGCGACAGTAAGTTCTTAATTTCTAATTGTAGGGTTTCTGGTCCAACGTGGATAGAGCGTAGAGAGGATACACGCAGAACCTCGAAACGCTTTTATTAGGAACTTATTTGGACAACCAATTAATTAATTAATGTTATTGGCGCTGCATGCAGGTAACAATCTCATTGTTGATTGAAATACCTAACAAAGGGAAGCTTAAGGTTGTCTAAGTTATTAGGCTATTATTAAAACCAGGAATACCGGAACAAGACCACCCGAACTAACGGCATCATTCCGGAACACGTAACACCGGAACACTAGAAATTCTTAATTTATTAAAAAATGGAGAAACAATTGCCGGGGTGTGTGGAGTTATTGCTGGAAAAATTATTGCGTAAAACATGCTTTTTTAATAATATTCTGACTTGCCGATTGCTACTATAAATTGCAAACTGAAATCATTCTCAAATTAATAAATATTTGCCCGAAAAGAAGAAATCAAACTCAGAATTGTTATTTTGTTGAAAATAAATGGCTATCTTTGTTTGTTGTTGAAACCATGACCTTCGGCCGGCTATCGGTCAATATTAGTATAGGTAATAGCATGGTTTCGAGTGCAATTTGGATATAACATGCACTCGTGAGTTTTTCAAAGACCTCAAAATAGCACGAGTCCGAAGGATGAGTGCTATTTGAGGTATTTTAAAAACTCACGAGTGCATGTTTATCCAAATTTCACGAGAAACCATGCTATTACTTATTAATAATTTACATGAAAATGTTCGAGACATTTGTAGCTTTAACTGACGCGTTTATAGCAAACATTCCACCGGCAAAGTTTTCCTGACTTTGTTATCACATTATATAACGCTAACAGCTTGAAAATTCCATTCAACTATGTAATTTTTGTTGGTCTTGTTTAATTAATATAAATGCTTTTCCATTTAAAAATAAAGATAAAATAAAAGCCATATCTTCCACGTGAAGGCAACTTTAACTTTATGTAGATCAGCGCCATGTTTGTTTTGTTTTGAAGCAATCTGTGACCGTTACTTCTTTAAACTAAATTGCTTTAAACTGATTCGTTGATTTAATCATCACAATGTTTTTTCCACCGATCAGATCAGTTTATTAAAGATTTTTGCACCGTGATTACAGAAAATGCACTGTGATTACAAAAAATTGCACTGTGATTACAAAAAATTGCACGTGATTACAGAAAATTGCACTGTGATTACAGAAAATTGCACTGCTGTTTGGGATTAACTGCACTGAAATCAACCAATCACAGTCGAGTATAATGTCTTTATGTATATTATTAATAGTGTAACAGCAGTTGATTACTTTGATTGGCTTCCTTGTGTTTACAAACTTACTTTTGAATTTGAAGAGGATAATTTTCATCGCTGGTTCCAAATTTGCCTTTGACATCACTTACAATTCTTGAATATACGTCATAACATCTTGGTCGTTTATTACGCAAAGCAAAACCAGTGATGCCGATGTAAGGAATACCTTAAGCGTATAATAATAACCTTCTGGTGAGTCAAGATGACAGAAATACAAACAAAAGTACTGTAGGCCTTGTAAGTCATAGCTTAAATAATATTTCAGCGCATGCATGTGTGTCTATTTGGCTATTTCAGTATGCTTAACGACTAAATTAAACTGACCCTCAATTAGGGAATTTCGTTCACTTGGAAATTTATTACGAGTAGTATCCTACGACTGTATCCGAGTTTTCGCTTGCCCTGAGATTCATTGTGGGCCAGCTAGAATGGTATAGCAGACGTATATTTAAAAGGCCGCACGCAACTGGGTATAAATACAATAAGTAAATTTTCCAACTTGGATTTGAAAAGTAGATGTGCAACTTTCAACTTCCGCCCATTGAGTATAAAAGTATATGAGAATCAAAATTAACAAATATTCAAGATTATTAATTTTAATATTCTGTGATTCGGTTCCCGAGGACCAAGTCATTATTCGTTCTATTTATACAAATTATCGTTTATTGTTTACAACTTATTGTTTACATAGATAAAAAAATGGCGCATCCTAACGACTAGTAAATGGCATTATTTAGTATATGCAATAATCTTTTGTGCTTTATACATCAGGACCTCGATATATACCGCATCGCGTGTGATCTTTTATAATTATATTGCAGGCCGGCCAGTATGGCGTAGCATACTATGAATCTCAGGGCAAGCAAAAACGCGGATAGAGTCGTAGGATTTTTACATGTACTAAATCTTCAAGTATTATAAAAAGTGTAAAAAGTTTAATTTACAGTCGTTAAACATACAGAGATAGACAAATAGGCACACATGCGGTGAAATATAATTGATAGGTAAGACTTACACGGCTTATATTTGTTTTTATTATTAAGTCATTTTGATTGACCGAAAGTTTATTACCATACGCTAAAGGTTTTCCTTAATCCATTGCTGCATGCTTTTATTTCGTTTGCCGAGAAACGATCAAGTTGCAATGACGTATGTTAAAAGAACTGTAAGTGACCAAAGGCAAACTTTGAACGAGTGATGGAAATTATCCTTTTCAACTTGACTTCAAAAGTAAATTTGTAAAAACAAGGAATCCAATTTAAATAACAATTCTAGATTTGATATTTGTTTTCAGGGCAAATATTTATTAATTTGAGACTGATTTCAGTTCGTGATTCGTAGAAGCAATCGGCAAGTCAGAATATTACTAAGAAACATGTTTTGCGCAATAACTTCCCAGCAATAATATCACAAGCCCCTGTAACTTTAGTTTTTTTTCGAATTTTTAGCAAATTAATTAAGAATTTTTAGTGTTCCGGTGTTCCAGAATGATGCTGTTCAGGTTTTCCGTGCTCTGTTGTTCCTGGTTTTACTAATAGCCAAATTATTACCGTCGAAGGATCGCATATTGAGAAATGAATTTATATAGCTAGTCTAGTGTATTTTAATTCATACTTAAGAGGCCTCCACTTTGCGCCAATTCAACAAAATACTATGGGAAGAGGAGGAATCTAAAGAAAAGTTTCTATTGTCACAATGCCATAATAAATGAATATGTAACTTAAATTAAAATCAAGTTTCGGTCATTTTTAATTTTTGTAACATCGACGTTTCTTTCGAAAGTTTAGGTGAGTTCCTCTAGTTATAGGAGTTCCTCTATTTTTAACCCAAAATACGAGTAAGTAATGGCTAGTGCGGTATTCTTATATTTTCTAGTTTAGTATAAGCAAGCAAAAGCGACCTTTTTACAAATGTAAAAATTGCAGAATAGACAGTTACTGATATCGAATATATTTGTTTCGACTCTTTCCAAATGCATAATGCCACCTTACTGGAGTTGTAGATTCTATTCCCACCGAGAGCAACGTCTTAATGAATATATATCCTAACATTAGTACAGTACACATACCACAATCATTAAGTCCCATACCCCCAGAAAACGTTGTGAAAGATGCAAATTTACAGTAGTGGCAAAACTGTTGTTTTATGGACATTTTACTCATTGAGGGAAGAGTATTTTTGCAAGAATATGTATTTTAAAAAAACAGCATCAAGAAAGCGGCAGATACCTTTTGAAGATTATGAGAGATAACTGCTCAATTTAGTTACCAGGTACATAACATTTTCAGCACGAAAAGGTCAAATACGAGGGCAAAGCAAATTCACATCCTAATGTTTACTTGGAGGATATTTATCATTTATACACCCGGAGCGAGGGGGATTCGGCGTAATATTACCCGAAGTGATGATATTTAGCCCCGAGGGATATATCATCACTGAGGGTAATGTCTATAAATGATATACCGAGAGTTAATTAAAGAACCCACCAAGTTCATGTTATGTATATACCAGAGTTTTTGACATTTTCCCCTTTCAAATATTTGAGTATATGTATCCTTTGGGTCATTGAAGGTAACATACGTCTTGAAAATATTTGGTTAACTTAAATCGATATATAAATCTTCGGTACGAAATTACAAACAACAGCTCGCGAACGCCATATTGTTTCAGAGCGTGGTATTCACGCGTCACGCGTGAGATACTCAGTAACATCCCACGGTGGATCTACCGTGGGATATTATAGTATCTCACGCTGGATTGCGAAATCATGAATTTGAGTGAAATACAGTAAAAAATCACATTGTCACGTGGTACAAATTCGGTTTTTTGAATGGACAATTTGAAATTGAAGTATAATATTTTGATCATATAACGTACATTCCTGTCATGTAGAGTACTAATAAACCTCATAAAGATATTAAGTGGCTATTATATGTTTCTTTTAATTGTGTATATGCGTTTGTAAAATACAAGGTATAATAAAGAATACATTGTTACATTACATTACATTACATTGGGGCTTTTCAGTGACCGATCGATTACAGTAAGTACAACCTAAACGATTTATCTTTATAACAATTGAGGTATTACGTTCCTAACTGTGTTTATCCTAACCCACCTTATCAACTTTCCTGTAGGAGAAACCGGAACACTTAGAGAAAACCCACGACTCTCGACAGAGCGTTGACTGACTACTTTCACATGAGTCCGTAGCAGGCCTTAAAATATCTTTTACAGGGCCGTCTGACAAAATGTCCGGTGACGTTGAGTTTGGGTCGGACATATGTCCGATGACCTTCAATTCAGTTTTGACTCGGAAATAAGTCTGAATGACACAAACGAATAAACGGTAGATGTTGCAAAGATATTAAATAAGTTGTTTCTTTCATACTTATTTCCAAGCCAAAATTAAATTGCTTTCCAGAACAGCAGTATTAAAAAAGAATCCGACAACTTAAGCCCCGGTTTTCCATTTCACCATTTCGCTCGCCGCCACGCGCTCAACATGCATGCAACGTTAAAACAACATTTTCAGTTCACCTTTTATATGCAATAGTACTCTGATTTTCCATTTAACAAACAAGCCTCCAGTCCTGGGCTAGGGTAAATTTTGATTTACGTCGGACAAAGCTACAGTTCGGTCGGACACCACTAGGGTCGGACTGACAAACAATAAACCTCAGTTTCACTTTGGTCGGACAGAATGTCCGGTGGCTTCCTCTATACGTCGGACAATTTCACAATTGGGTCGGACAATGTCCTTGACCGATCGATATATTAAGGCCTGGTCCGTAGCGAGAATCGAACACACGATCTGAGAGGTGGAAGGCGCTTACTCAGACAACTGCGCCACCGTCAATGACTGTTTATGAACGTAATTTTAGCCATTGATCTTCTTTTCCTTTGTTCAATCGTTTGTTCGTTCCCTTTCGTTCATTCGTTCGATCGTAAATTGTTTCGTTCGTTATGAGAGGGCCCTGAAGGGGTAAAATGGGAACTGGGATTGATCTATTTTTAGACTGGGAAAATGGAACTTGGTTGCTGGGACTGGGATTTGGCCACTGGGAATGGGAATTGAAATCCTCAAAAATGGGAATGGGATTGAGGTAATGCGAGTCGATTCCCAATTTTTCTGCGTTTTGAGTATTTTAAAATACAATTTTGATCCGTTTTTGGTGTCTTTGGTCATGATTTTTGTTCAGGGGCGCCGGAAGCAATGTGAAGCGCTGGGGGGCAGCGATTTCAAAAGGGCACTTCATTTTTCTGGGCGGCAATATTTGTTAAAACTTTGCTGTATGGATACTCGATTACTTGTGGCTATTATGTGTCGGCAAACGTCGACATTAATTTTGAACAATTTTATTCGTTGCACCTTGCTAAAGGCGCAAAATAAAATCAGTAGACGAAAGTATATTGCTTGATTTAGCATTAATTTTACTGTACCGCATCTTTAAACATTGCTTAAAAATAGTTCTAAATTCCAATTTCTGTGAATAATCACAAATTTCGAGGTGCAGTTCTGACAAAAAGGGCAGCCTGTTGCCCCCGTGCTGCCCCCGCAATGTTTGGGCAACGGGGGCAGTTGCCCCCGCTGCCCTCGTGGCTCCGGCGCCCCTGTTTTTGTTGTTAACTATATTATTCACAGCACTACCTGCGAACGGGCATGCTCTGGCGCCCGGAATTTTGGGTTTTCTGATTATGCGTGTCTCAGAATGCTGCAAATGCCATTTTCGGGATTCAAATTAAAAAAATTTCCGTGCCTTCAGCACGAACCCGCCCCCCCCCCCAATATTTCATAAAGTGCCCGCCACTTGCTTAGAAGGTCTTAAAACTGTTTATTCTACTGATAAATAAAGGGTTTTTTATTGACTGGGATTTCAATAACTGGGACTTCTAATAAAAATCCAAGTGGGACTGGGATTTTGCCAAAATTTCAGGTGGGAAATGGGATTGGGCCCCCCCCCCCTTCAGGACCCTCTTATGATATAATTTGAAAAGAATTGATTTTGATAGTAGCATGAAACATACTCTGGCCCTCGAGAATCTTTGCGAGGCGAATGAACGAGAGACGAGAAGGAAGAGTCTCTGGTCACATCGGCTGTAAATCCCACTTCCACACTTGATTAGGTTCAGAATTTGAATCTCCCATGTGATTGGCCATTTGTAAAAATATGTGAAACCAGTTTGGAAATCAACATTACTGTAAGCTAATTATTGCTATAAATAGCTATAATTAGCTTACAGCAATGTTGATTTTCCAAACCGGTTTGACATTTTTTTACAAATGGGCTATTAAATGGGAGATTACATGAATGTACCTTTCACACGCCCTCTGTATGGCTTGTGGGCAATTGCACGGCCAGCGGATGAGGAGAATATGGTGAAAATCTCGTTGTATTTGTATGACCTCTCGTACATATCCTGCTTCAGATTGTTCCGTAAGCCAAATCGTCGACAACGTTTATGGATTTTCACAATTTACGGATAAAGATTACAATGTGCAGTTCATTACAGACAATGGAATGTATTGGGTAAATGTTAGTTGGAAAACACCAACAGGTACGTATGTTGAAACAATGTCTGTCGGAACAGAACTCGAGCAATAGCTAGATTGATGTAGAAACAGGTTGGTATAAGGTGTTTACTGTTTAATATCCCTTGAAAAATCTCTTAAAACAGATGTCTGTCTCTTCACTATTAGTTTCCTTGATATCCCATCTCGTTTCTGCCGTACTGGGCCAGCCCATTTCAGCAACGTCTATCATAGTTATAATCAAATGATAATAACTAGAAAATGCATTCATGCAGAAACTCTCGCTTTGCTGACAAAAGCATTACAATTTCCCAACATGAATTCGAAGTCTCTAAAGTAGGTGTCATGGTAACACGAAAATTTTATTGAAGAATATTTTTAAAATTGGGAAAGCCTCTAAAAATATCAGTTTTAATTGCAAAATTTTCAATTTCCCAAATATAGATATGTTTGGTGTATTATTGCACGTTATTATACGTAATAATTATAAGCTCCAATATTTAATGTAAAATACAACCACAAACGCCTAGCAAAACGTCTTAAAACGTCCTTAAAACTGAACTGCCTTTAATCGATAAACTTTGAGATTGAAATCATGAAATGATTTTCAATTATCGCATGCAAATAACTTTGTTTTCTCCTTACTTAAATATTTCAACATAATAAAAAGATGTAATCGATAAATATACGCTGAAATTTCATGCTCTACTTTATCATTATACGCAATTCTGATAAAGCAATGATCATAAAGCAAACGATACATCAACATTTAAAACAAATTTAGGCCCGGTTTAGACGGCGAACTTAATTTTCATGCTCCGACTAGTGTAATGCAAGGATTAAGTGCGACTTTCCAGCGGGGTTAAGTTCGGGAGTTTTTGATTAAGTTCGACACGAACTGAAGATGCCACAAGACAAGTATTATGCAACACAGGTTTGACATTGATTTAGACGCCGCACTTTTCATGCGCCGAACATCCAGCATAATTATTTTTTAACATTATTATCTGATTATCAATTCATATATTAGAATTGTTAATATGTCCCAGAACTCAATGCGGGTATGAACTTATTTTAAAACATGGCGAAATGTGATCCATGTGGGTAAATTTTTATATTGTTTTTTATATGCTAAAATCGTGCTTTTGTTACTGATTTGAAAAATAAATAGCACTATTTTTCTCATGCGTCATTCAGAGCCTTTTAAAGGATTTTCCCGTGGGGGGGTGGCATTTTTTGAAAATGTACCTTTTCCTTGGGGGGGAGGGCAAATATGATTTCGTGTGGGAGCAACATGGGTGGACTGGCGGGGGAGCTTTTGCCACCCCCCCCCCAGCTTGTATGTTAAAAAAGGCCCTGGTGTCGTTGCATGGTTAATGAGATAATCATGATCAGGTCATTGAGGGAATATTTTTACGAATTACTTGCAAATCTAGTGTGTTTGTCCAACTTGCCGTTTTTGAATAAAGGCGCCAAAAATTTGTTAATTACTTCATGTAACTTCCAATAAAGAGTCCTTGCAATTTGGGACAGTACAATAAAGTTCGACGTCTAAACAGTTTCTGATATTTTGCCGTATCCATGATAATTAGATCTTTAGTGGACATATGTACATGTTGTATTTCAATATTTAATATGATTTTCGGATCAAAGCAAGATGTCCCAAGATAAATTGTGTCGCTGAAATTTTAAAATTAAAAAAACAGCTGCTGTCGGTATATCAAGGCCATCACTGTCAACCTCGTACCCAGGGCATTTTGCTTCCGGTCAGCGAAAATGGCCCTGGCATTGGCCGGTCACATGAATTCAAAATCTCCAGTATTTGGGGTGTTCAATTATGATAATTTATGCGTATAAGTATGTATATAGAATAATTATATACATTGTAATTACTGACAGGAATAAACAAACTCAATGCTGCATCTATAATCAAAGAGAAAGCAACAAAATAAGTTGACTTTATTCGGTTTTCGTTGTTTACACCTCATTCAGCAATATAGCCCGTTAATGTTGATGACTTTTAAACATATTCAGAGCCCGTTTAGCCTGTGATTTAATTCTTAATGAACAACCAAACCAAACCAAACAAAACAGCCTCAGCGTTTGGTTTATATAAATCGTGTTATGAGCAAATATATTCGTATCACAATCTTTATTTGACTGTAGCCCTGTCTGTTTCTAGAAATCAACGATGTGTAAACAACGCATGTGAGAAATGTATGTTGAACCAAAGCAAATACTCGTCTATATACAAAATGTACAAAGACTTAAAATAATCTTTCCCTATTAAATTCATGCTGTATCTCAAGCGAAATGTCAAAAATCTTATTTACTCAATACTTTAGTCCTTCAAGAACTAATTAGCAATTATAAATTTGTCACTTCACTCTCGTTCCACAATAATAATAATTATTCCCACATATATTGAATAATTACATTCAAAATCATTGACCAATCAGGTTGCAAAATAGACCAGCCGAAGCCATCCAACCGCGGAAGCAAAAAGCCCTGGGTACGAGGTTGCATCACTGTGTGGCTTTCTCAAAGTTTTTGATGACGTCACAAGCAGGGTAAACTTGTTAAAGCTTCTTCATGTGGGACTTAATTTCCTCCATTAGATTCCTAAGATGTTGTGAGTTAATTGAATACCCAAAATACTTTGGAAAATCGAGTTTCGTATTGATAATGACATGTGGTATGCAAGATAAACATTTCGCTTTTTACCCTACTTGTGACGTTATCCCTGTAATTTAAACGAAAAATCTAAATATTTTAATTAATTAAGGAAGAAATAGCAGTTCACTTATTGGGTATTGGTTTTCATGGCTCGTGTTTCGTGATACGAATTTTCAAGGATACTCGCTCGTGTGCGATACTCTTACTGCAAAGGTATGGTAATGTGAAATGTGACCCTCTGATAATGGGTTGACACAAAATGCGGGCAGACAATCTAGTTTCAACTAAAGGTTAAAACCATTTAAGTACAACACACTCCCCTTGACAAGCAAAATCGCCAAGCATGAACTATAGCTTTTGGTGCACTTGATGCGAAACAGAATATTATTAAAAAACAATAGAGTTCTTGTTCGCCGACATAATAGATATTTGCCCTGACTTAGATTCATTTTCGCCCGACACAAAAAACATATAGTATTTATTCCCATTTTTGCAAGAACGTCAACTCTATTACTATTATAATAATCATACAGGGAGACAACAGTACAAAGTATAAAATAATGACCGCAGTCAGTTGATCAACACCACATTCACACTGCCATCCATTTCATTGTTTAAGTATTTCAGCAGAAAAATACCAAACCATTTTTAAAAGTCAAAAGGGTTAATGAAAAAATAAAATGATTGTTTTGTATGAAAACAAAGCTACTTTTGCTTTATAAAAATATATTAATAAGAAACTATGGATAAACATTTTATCGTCACAGCTATCGTATTATTTCCGAATTGAACAACGTGAATTGTTTTCTCGATCTTCCAGGGGTGGATTCTAGGTAATTTAAATTTGGAAAATTGATTTCTGTTTTTGGTGAAGCGGTGACCGAAAACATGTTGAAAACCATTCGGTTAAACGACTGATGGAAGATGTATGAACACACTTCCACTAACATTCCCGATTAGCCAGTCAAATGTTTACGAAGCAAGCCAAACGTAGCCGAAATGTTATAGGAGAAGTCAAATCTGAGCCTCTCTAATGTCAATGCAAGTTCAGCTGACTGAAATGCATAACTTTTTAGCTTTGCTAATATTTTTCCATTACCCATATATGTCGCACCCACAAAGAATATCATTCTAGCGATTTATCATAATATTAAGCAAGCATTCATGCGTGTAATGTTACTTAACGTTTCTTAGATATTTGTACACACATGCATGTATATTTCATAAGTTTTCAATCTTTTAAATAAATACAAGTTTTCAAGTTGTAATGCGATCCGTGGGTGGAACAATATGTTATCTGCACCGTTAATGTTTTGAGAACAATTTTCTGGAATGACCTTTTCGTTCGAGACTAGAACATTACAAATACTGCTAATACATCCCTTTTCTTTTATTTATTTGCAGAACACTTCGTTTCTTGTTCATGAATCATCAGGTTGGAGAAAGGACGAACATATATCATTTGCGGTTGGTATACAGCTATTTCAATTAAGGTGTTCCCCCGAGCAAAGCGGAAAAGTCGAATACGAGCGCGAAAGGATGCTGCGATTCGCTAATAAATGAATGACTTTATTAGCGATTTCCAGCAGCCTTTCGCGCCCGTATTCGACTTTTCCTCTTTACTCGGGCGACAACCTTAATTGAAATAGCTGTATATATTTAACACATACTTGTATTTAACACATACGCTTTTTTATCTAGTTATTTTAATAATTGTTGCATACAGGGCAACGCATGACTACTATATATTCTAATAATTCCTCCTACCCTGATAAAATACAAGAATATGGCAAACAGCCTATCATAATCATAATACATGTCGGTGAAAATGAAGAAATCTGATTGACTGAGGATTCTTTCAGATTGGGCAAGTTTTTCTCATGCATGCTACCCGCTCTGAAACTCAGTCGATGTGAAAATAAATATGTTTTGCATCCACCAAATTATTATTTCCAGGTCTCAATGGGACCTAGCTAACCGTGTAGCTCAGTTGGTAGAGCTCTTGTAAAGCTAAAATCATGGCAAAAAATTTCGTGGAAACTTAGTTGTAAACTACAGTGTTACTGCCGGTCACATATACTTGTTGTCCTCTCTACAGTGTTGGTATTGACATGTTTTGTGAAACCACAAAGCTTCAATTAACCGGCCTAAACAATTTGTAAGCTTTCAACATTGAACAATGGAGGGTGAAGTTAAAAATTTCTGTTTTAGCAAGTTATCTGTGTCGGGTAAGGCACGTATTTGAATTTCACACGCGCTCTGTTCACAATAATTTTTGCCAGGGTTGTCTGAAAATGCCTGCTTGCCTCGCACCCACGCGTCTCTTAGTAAAAACAGCGATGTGTGTATGACGAGTTTACATGAAGTATTGTTGTGGCCAGAGAAGTGTAAAGTGGCTGATGGGAAGAGTATTGAAATGCGAGACGCCTGGGACTTCTTGGTCGATTTCTTGCAAAAAATTGCGATTTCTTGCAAGTTGTGATATGTCGTTGGGTTTACGATTTTTTGCTACTTGGTTTTGCTGTATTGACCAATGTTAATATTCTTCTGCCATTTTTGCGTAAATTCATCCTGTTATTCTTCATATATACGACATACTTGTATGCCTAATTTAAAGTTTTGGAATATTAACATGTTAATTGTCAATAACCGAAGGGTTGAAGAACTATAGACTTGCAGGAACTAGATTTGCAAGCTATGACAATATTCAATTCAATTCAATTCAAATTCAAAAGTCTTTTTAATAGATCAAAAGATAAAAATACATATCTTATGTTACAAGTACATGTTACAAGTACATAATATATAAAGATATAAATTATAAAACTACTCTGTTGTAACAAATACTTCAAACTTTACGGTTGTGAACTTTTATTTAGGCTACTTGGGCTTTTGTTTCCAGTATACATTTAACATGCATTGCCATTGTGATGCAGCCTTTAGCTAAATGAGTTAAAGTTGTGTACTCCTTTATACTGTTAATACAAACGCAATTATGTCACTTCGTTTCTCTGTTACTATTTAGTAAACAACTGATAGTATTCAATATATATTATATTTATTTCAACATGGATTGTCGACATCATCCCTAAATAATAGATTTGAATCGATTCTCCATGACAAAGTTTTCATATTAAATCAACCTCGTTCCCAGGGAACGACACTGCATGGTCACGTGCCTCGTCAAAAATTTAGCGCCCGAGGGGGTGTGGGGAAAGTATCAAATGTCTGTCAGTAATTTATCTTTAGAAGTTTGGATTCAGTACATAATTCCAACCCGGTAATTGTAGTCAGGATTTAGCCTTTTTCTTGGTCCCTATTAATCATAATATTTTGTTAAAATACTATAATCTATAAACACTATATGGCAAATTTACAGTTTGATGCAGATGCGCACATACTGTCATACGAATAGAGATAAATTTTCGAGTTTTCTACTTCTACTAACATTTTAAATTTTTCATTGCGAATCATCGTTTTCATTGCGAATTTTAAACTTTTCACATCGAATACAGTGTGTATAAAAAAAGTGAACCTCTCAAATTCAAAGTAGCTATAACGTATTGTAGTAATTTGACAGCTCTAATTGCTTTGAATTAATGGTTGGGTAAGAACACAAGTTATATAATAACTACAGTGAAACACGGCAATTTGATTGGTCAACAGCCGTGCAGGATCAGACAATCCTGCACGGGAAATTCTGAAGAAATTCTGAAGAAATTCTTGGCCATAATTTTACAAATATACTCGCATTGTAAAGTTTAATTGTACGATACCTTTCGACTTTGAAGTAAGTTTCCAGTTATTGAGACGTTGGTTTAGTTGTATGAATAAATTTCTGATCAATACATTGCTGTTCAGCAAGTAGCAACGCGTAGCTTTGAAATTTATCAGACCATGGCATGCAAGTACAACATCTGTCGCTTCAAAGTTCATCAAACGCTTCGCAATCTTCGCATATTCAGGTCGATAATCTTTTCATAACTACTTTGGCTCTCTGTTTAGCGTGTTTTCCATTTCAAATTTCGTATATTTTATCGAAAAAGTCCCTGTATTTTCGCTGTATATTTTCGCGAATTTGCGATCAAATTCTGTTCACATATGTTGTTGTTTTCAATAGCGTGGAGTAGCGATTCTCTGATTGGTTAATTCACGAATGTTGTGAGCACTGGACATTTATCAGTAATTTTAATCAAGTTAAGCGTCGTTTCACTGTAGTAGTTTTATAAAACAATTACCAAATGGTTTTCCTGTGCAGGATAGCATGATCCATGCACTTGGGATATTGCTCGACTTTCGGAAAGCGTAAAAATATTTTTACGCTTTCCGAAAGTCTCGCAACATCCCGCGTGCATGGATCACGCAATCCTGCAGGGAAAACCATTCGGTATTCCTTTAGTATTGTATTCATGCATGGGAAAAACTCAAAGAAATAAAAATTACAAAATTTAAAAGAAATACAGTATTTCTTTCAAATTTTCTAATTTTTATTTCTTTGAGTTTTGTCCCGTGAGAACAAGATTTTGAGCTCTTACCTGAAACCATTAATTGAAAGCAATTAGAGCTATCAAATTACTACAATACGTTATAGCTAATTTGAATTTGAAAAGCTTTAGTTTTTCCGTACACACTGTAGTTCATTAGTCATTGTGCCACTATTAAGTAAAACAAGGCTCTCAGATATATTTGTATGCAGTGTTCTAAATAGTGTTCATTGAAAGACATTATAATATATTATCGTTTGACTTATTTTTGATGTATTAATTTTATAGTCCTTTGACGGTCTTAATAAGGTCTTTATAATCAACAATCTGCATACACTTGGCGTCTTGGCGATATTTCGGAAATCAAAGGATCACGCTATTTAATTCGTTGCAGTTGTAAATCTCGATCTTCAATAAATAAATTCCTTTGGTCCGAGTATCAGGATACTAACAGTAACAGTAATACTAACAGTTAAATAAATAACAACCACATTGGTTGGTCTAGATCGAGAAATATATTTTCTTGTAGGCTTGTTGCTGCGCCGCCCACGCGTGCTTTCCTTGGCAAGTCTATAAGTTCAAATCAGATCCAACTTGCTTGAATTGTAACTCGACACTAGATTATAGAGAAGAAGATCCCATCACGATCAATATTAATTTTTAATTGCAGTTCTCTTCACGATTTTTTGTTGCAAATTTAAATTTCATCACACAAAGTTGCGGTTATTTTTACAACCGGACAAACAGGCACCTCACCCATCCTACCCATAGTATAATTTAATTTATCATCCAGAATCTGGTTGACACGTGACCAGTCGAAGCTATGGTCTTTTCTTCGCCTCGCGCCGTTCTAAGAAAGACCCTGGGTCCGAGGATGATATTAAATATGAATTTAATACAGTGTCAGTGTGCAAGTATTTTTTGAAGGTGAAATATTTTTAGCAAATACAAATGTTCTTCTCTATTATTCACCATATAATACCGAATGACATTCTCCATATTGGGAATATTCGCACGTGTACATGTAACTTGCCATGTAATTTACTCATAATTATTCGCGCATTTTGCATGTCATCAAGCATCTACAATTTTTTTATTATTTGGCAATGGCGTTCAATTCAAGTCTTCACCAAAAAGTAAGGTTTTACACACAGACTATATGACCATATGGCAAGGTTTTGTATTAAATTCCATGTTTGTCCGTCATGACAGTATACAATAACTGCCAGGCGCTCCCCAGAACGCACCATTCCCAACAGCACCTTCGTGCGTCGCCGACCCTGCCTGAAAACTTCATGCGTTATATTTGAAGCTCCTGGGTACGAGCTAGGCAGTAAAAATGCAATGCATAGCAAATTCTTTATTTTCAGCATTTAAGGTTAGACGCATATAATGCTTTGTTATTCGAGCAAACACAAGAAGGTGCATGTTTTTATGATCCGTATAAATACATGGAGAATCTGTTTTTCAAAAACTGTTTGTTTCAAAAACTGTTTGTTTGTTTTCATTGTCACGGGGCAGAAAGGTTATAAACTAAGGTTATCTCAGTTATTATATAATAAGTATACATCTCTACGTCACTCATGCTTCTCTACTATCAATACTATTATTTTGTTTAGTGATGCGAGAACGTATGCGTTATTTCCCTCGATCTTCGATCACACCAGAATAACAACTGGAATTAGCATCTTGCGGAATTAATTATTTAGGCGCATTGTACCCAAACGTAGATTTGCGCAACAAGAATACTCTGTTATAATGGGTAAGGCATCTAGGAGAAGATGGGTTCGAAACTCTTTCTAAGGTAGTCGTCTCGGTCTCTGTTTTCTTGTGCGATTCTATTACGCCTGAACAAGTCCATGTATACCCTACACATAATCTACAGATACACAAAAACCATGTTCCATATTTTTTGTTTCTGTGAGACTGCTTATTGTTTAAACAAAGTACGCAAGCCCTTTCATGTCTTTATACACCGTAGTGTTGGGAATATTCGATTCCACCACATTCATGCCAATTATAGGTAGTATTTATAATTTTTTCTGTATTGGTGTAATGTACTCAGGTGAATATGATGCTTGCGATGTTACTCTGAGTGTATGTCCACACCGGGCAGGCTTAAAAAGTATGCCTGGCCACGGTGGAAATCGAACCTACAACCTTCGAAACACTAGCCCAATGCTCTGCCAACTGAGCTACGCGGTCAGGTTGGTTCGAGTATATGACATTTCGGAACTGAATCTAGTTCCTTCGATATCAATGTAATCTAAATCATGATTTTTTTTTGTGTTGGTGTAATGTACTCAGGTGAATATGATGGTTGTGATGTTACTCTGAGTGTATATCCACACCGGGCAGGCTTAAAAAATATGCCTGGCCACGGTGGGAATCGAACCTACGACCTTTGGAATACTAGCTCAATGCATATACACTCAGAGTAACATCACAAGCATCATATTCACCTGAGTACATTACACCAACACAAAAAAAAATCATGATTTAGATTACATTGATATCGAAGGAACTAGATTCGGTTGCGAAATATCTTATACTCGAACCGATCTGACCGCGCGTAGCTCAGTTGGCAGAGCATTGGGCTAGTATTCCAAAGGTCGTAGGGTCGAATCCTATCGTGGCCAGGCATATTTTTCAAGCCTTCCCCGTGTGGATATACACTCAGAGTAACATCACAAGCATCATATTCACCTGAGTACATTACACCAACACAGAAAAAATCATGATTTAGATTACATTGATATCGAAGGAACTAGATTCGGTTCCGAAATATCATATACTCGAACCGACCTGACCGCGTAGCTCAGTTGGCAGAACATTGGGCAGGCAGTGTTTAGTTGAAAAGATATCGGTGTTAAATGAACTTGATAAGAATTCTATTGTTATTAGAAACACACAGTTGGCAACTAAGACCATCGTAATGTTTATACATTTATTCTATTGTTCGCCTGTTGGTGCTTAACAATATCAATAAACAACGTTTTCATTAGAATGAATACATTTTTTACACTTATGTCTATAATCTCTTGATTTGTATGGTTCTCATATCGACGCTATTGTATGCTTATTTCTTGACTTTGAATACCTTTGGACGATAATGAATGATTATGCATATTCAAATTTTTTTATTGAATACCCGTTTCATGCAATTCGCTACCAAATCCGTCTACATGCATATATCTACGTTTTATTGGTCACTGGTTCATACACATGGTAGCTCGTTTTATCTTTATGAGTAACAAACGGCGTATTAGCTAAGTTGCTGTAAAGCAGACTTATTTATTGTCTTTGAATATTGTCATTGAATTGCATGAGAATATGAAGAAAATTGTAGTATTAACTAAATTTATTAAGAAAATTAGGACTGTAGCATCTTCAATGTTGGGGGAGGCTCAATTTTCTGCTTTCTCGGTTTGGAATCATTCACTTTGTGAACTGCGCATCTTATCTTATTACCGAATGAACAATCTGACAAAATCACATAACACTCCCAGAACTAGTGCTGTCGATTTTATTTTAATACAAACGAGTAAGGTTTACGATACTCATACAGTCTATGACTCATAATATTCAGCCCTGAATCGGACGTGACCGTTTATCTCACAATTGGTAGAGCAACGAGCAAGTCCTAAAATAGGACATGTAAATTTGCATACAAAAGAATTCCGTTTAAAAACTGTTCATGGCTAGAAATGTTGGACATTGCTACTGAGCATGCTCGGAAAATTCACAAAAACATGGCCGCCAGTTTTGTATAGAAGTGATAGCATTGTGAAGAAAAATCTTAAAGTAAAGCTATTTGTATCTGCCATTACAAAGTTGCAGACTCCGGATTCGCTTTGCTAGAGCCGTCGTGTTTATATTCCATAATTATTTCATGCATGTCTTACCTTTAAGATGTTCCATTTTAAAATCTATTCCAGCGAAATTTTCACTATTAGAAAGTATATTATTTAGTTTAAATTTGCCCATTTGGCGGTGTTTTCGCGTCTCCGGCTAGATTTCTCTTGTTCTTTGCAACATTTGCAGACTCTCCATCGTAAAGAACATACACACTGCTACATTCTCTAGAACTTTCGTGGAGATGCACTTTCGTTTACATGTTCCAAATTTGTCACGAAAATCGCAAATATCTGAAGCTGTGAAAGCGTATAGTTTCATGGCGAGAACTTTCACTGTAAAGTCATGTTCATCAGATGATCAACGCCGATTTTAAGAACGAACGTTTCCAAAACTCGGCCATGTTTGGTATCAAAATGAAGCTTAGGAACCTCTAATAATAATAATAATAATAATATTTTATTTTATTTTCACACAAATTGTTACACTATATTGGTAAAGCCGAAGCCATAGGCTTATTTGGCAAAACTATTTAAGAGTATAGCTCGTGGTCAGTACAGAGAATTAAGTATGAATTATTCCAACTGAGTATATAATAAAAAAAGAAAACTAAAAAACCCAACCGGAAAAAGCATTTAAATTAGTATAGATAATTCATGCTTTATAGAAAGCAGTATATGCAGCATATATACAGCCAAATTTCAGTCCTTCTTTTTATCCCAGAGCCATTCCACATGCACATGTCAACCATTCTGAAAAGTTAAATAGTAGTTCTTTAGAATACGTCTAAAATTTTGAGTTGTCAATGATTGCCGAATTAAAAGAGGGATGGAATTCCAATTTTTCGGGCCTTGCGCACGAATGGAAAAAGAATATTTATGGGAAATGATATGCAAATCCTGTCTATGCCTTGTAAAATGATCATGGATGTTATAATTGAACTCAAATAAGCAAGAAATGGGTGAAGGAAGGAGATTGTTAACGTGTCTAAAAATAAAACACAAAAGTTGAAATTCATAAATCTGAAAGACAGTGAGGATATTTAATTCCTTAAAGAGTGGTTTGGAAGGAGTGAGAGGGGGAGAATGTGTAATAATTCTCATGATTTTTTTTTGACATCGAAGTAAAGGATGAAGATGTGTTGTGTAAGATGATCCCCAGATATTAGTGCACCCCTATAAATAAGGCAAGATTAAAGAATTGTATAGTACTGAGAGTGTTGATCTATCAAGAGAATGACGAGATTTTGCAATTATTCCAATGTTTTTGGAAATTTTTGTAGTGATTAATTGTATATGTGGGATCCAGGACAAATTTTCCTGGATAGTAATTCCCAGAAATATGGTTTGGCTAACTCTTTCTATTAGATGTCCATTGATTTTTACCTCATCCTGTGGGTCGATGTTTTTTTTCCTGCTGGGATGAAAGAGTATAAACTTGGTTTTATCTGGATGCAATGTAAGTTTATTTGCCCTAAGCCAAGAAGCAACTTTAACAAGTTCATGGTTGAGTGTGTTAATGAGAGACGTTATGTTATTGTCACTATAAAATATATTTGTGTCATCTGCGAATAGTATAAAGGATAGGCAGTTGGATGTATTAAATATATCATTTATAAACACAAGAAAAAGTAATGGTCCAAGAACCGAACCTTGGGGAACTCCGAATTTAATAATTTTAGGTGAAGATTGAACATTGTTAATTTCAACATATTGAGATCTTTGACTAAGGTAACTTTTAATCCATGAAAGAGCATTACCACGAAAACCATAAAAAGACATTTTGTCAATTGACCATTTGCGTAATAGACTAAATTTTGAACTAAACAAGTCTAGACAAAAATTTCATCACGGCTTGAAAGAGCATCACAAAATTAGTAATATTCCAGAGTTTCGTTGCAAAATGTTGTAAAATGCGGAAAATATAGCCTTGCGAAATTTGCAATTTTCAGTCATTTTAGATTACAAACGGGAAATTGACAGCCCCAAACCCTTCGAGGCTGTCAATTTCCGGTTTGTAATCTAAAATGACTGAAAATTGCAAATTTCGCAAGGCTATATTTTCCGCATTTTACAACATTTTGCAACGAAACTTTGGAATATTACTAATTTTGTGATGCTCTTTCAAGCTGTATTGAAATTTTTGTTGAGATCAAAATTCAGTCTATTACGCAAATGGTCAATTAGGATGTCATGGTTGAAAGTATCAAAAGCCTTTTTAAGATCTAGAAACACGCCAACAGTTAGATTATTATTTTCAAAACCATGATATATTCCGTTTACCAGTTCGAGTATAGCCATGAACGTAGAATGATTTTTTCTAAAGCCATATTGGTGGTGGTTTATAATTTGAAACTTATATAGGGAATCCATGAATCTCTTATACATCACCTTTTCAAGTATTTTTGAGAAACAAGGAAGAATAGAAATCGGTCTAAAGTTGGAAAAATTATGACAATCATTGCTTTTGTAAATAGGCAAAACCTTAGCAATTTTTAGCTGGTTGGGTACACTACCATTGGCCATTGAAGAGTTGAATATGTAACACAATGGTACTGCAAGTATGTGAATACTCGTTTTAATAATAGGCGTTCTAATACCGTCTACCCCTTCACTGTAACTATTTTTCAACGAATTAGTGATAGTTATAATTTCAGAAGGGGAAGTTGGGGTGAGGAATATTGACTCATTAAACGAGCCCAACAAATAATCCCTATGATTATTGTCTGATATGTCTGTAAAATTATTTGAAAGAGAGGTCCCAACATTTATAAAGAAATCGTTAAATTTATTAGCAATTGAATGTGGATTACTGTAAGTTCCACTACCATTTTTCATAGTTGAAGGTATCCTATCCTTTTGTTTACTACCAATAACAGATCTAATAATAGACCGTGTTGCTCGTAAATCTGATTTATGGTTCAAAAGTTTATTGTGATAATAACTTTTCCTGGCGAGTTTGACAAGGTAATTGTACTTATTACGATAATTCGTATAAGTTGTCTTAATGGAAATGTCAGGATTTTGAAAGTATTTTTTTATAGGCGATCTTTTTTCATGGAAGAATTATATAAGCCATTAGTAAACCAAGGCTTAGTATTTTTTCTAGTTTGTGTGGTAAAGGTTTTCACTGGGAAACAATCATTATAAATAAGTTGAAGTATATTCATAAATGATGTATATAGTTGGTTAGTAGTCATTGTATCATTATTAATAACATCCCAGTTAACATTTTGCAGTTTACGTTGAAATTGTTCAAGACTGTCAGATGTCACTTGTCTTGTCGTGTATGTTTTTGGCTCAGGTTTAGGTATTATATTTAGATCACTAAGTAGGAATATGGGTAAATGATCTGAAAGGTCGGTATAAATAATGCCACTTATCATATCATGATCTAAGTTATTAGTGATAATGTTATCAATCAAAGTGGATGAGTGATAAGTTATTCTAGTAGGTTTAGATATGGTAGGGTAACAACTATTAAGGAGAAGAATGTCAACAAAATCATTAGTGGGCTTGTGAGAGTTGGAATTAAGTAAATTAATATTAAAGTCACCCATTATGTAACATAATTTATTTTCAAAACTTATTTTATTGAAAATCTGGTTGATATCTTCATTGAATTGGTTAATGTCAGCATCAGGTGGTTTATATATACATCCTACTATAATGTTTTTGCTATGAGGTTGGGCTAATTCAGCAAATATAGACTCATATGTAGAGTGAGAGAATTCCAAGTCAGATCGAAGTTTAAAATCAAAAGAGGAGTTGATGTATAGACCAACCCCACCTCCATGCTTAACATTTCTGTGTTTAGATATAAAGTTATAGTTTGGTATAGGATATAAGTCATAAGATAAATTGTCAAGCCATGTCTCTGATAGTCCAATGACAGATATGGAACAATCAAGAGAGGACATGAAAACCATGAAATCACTAAAATTTTTCTTAAGGCTTCTTATATTAATATGCATTGTCGAGAAGTAGTCATGGGGTTTTGTTAGATTAGCATTGAATTCCACTGTTGTATAGTATATACATTTAGAAAGTGTTTCAGAATTAGATGCAAAAATACTGGAGTTTAGGTGTAAGTCAGGTTTGTTAAGCAAAGAACATGTTTCGGGGTCATTGATAAAAGGATTGAAGCTCATATTATTAAGGTTATTGAGATCGAGAGGTGATTGGAGGGAATAATCAATTGCATAAAGAAAATCATCATTGTCATGGTAATGATTAAATGGAAATATCTCAGTTAAGCAAGATGCACAATACCATGGGTTATTATCATTTGAAATAGTTTTATAATCATTAGGGCTAAAATTTGTGCATTTAAGATGTATCCAGTGGCCACATATGTCACAAAGAATGGCTCGAGAGTAACTGTGAATCCTACATTTACAGACAGAACAGGGGGACATAACAGAATAAAGAAAAGTAATATATATATATATATATATACTACTTGTGCACCACTCTAAAGCTTAAATATATAAGTTCAAATACATAAATTTAATAACACAAATTAGGTATGATGGTTTGCTATGAGACCAATAGACGAATTTATAAACAGGGGGTGTTGGACCAATAATCTTAAGCCAAAAGTCGCGCTTGCGTTTTACTTCCGATTTGGCTGATGGCGGGAAATCTGGCAGTATGAATATGTAAACACTATGTCTGCCGTTCTGAAAGCATTAAATTTACATAAATTAAAGCAAAAGATTTCTTTCTCAACGAGAACTTGCATTAATCATCCTCGGAAAGCTGTTACTGAAGACGAAAACATTGTTTTGACTGTATATATTCCCCACGAGTACCTAGAACAATTGTATGACTTGAAGCAAGATGGCAAGTTAACTGGCCTGTCGTACGTCGAAGTTTTAAATGCATTTATATCGCAGAATGCCTTGGAGATAAAGCTAGACTGCGAAAGAATTACTACTACAATACGTAGATATTGTGGGGAGATAGAAAGCAAAATCGAAAGGTTGCGAGGCCGTGTAAGAACAGAGTACTTGGCGAAGTCAAAATGCATTTCTGTTTACGAGAAGGAAATTGCCAGGGTGTCTGAGGCGAAGAATGAGCTAGAAAGTGCAAAGGCAGTTTGTGATACCTTGTCCAAAGAGAAATACAATTTAAATGAGCAATGCGAGATACTATCGAAAGAGTTGTGTACATTGCAAGGAGCCAAGAAAGAGACTGAACGAAAGCTGGAATGTGTGACAAAGGGAAATCAGGAAGAGTTAAACAAGAATGAAGTACTGAAACAGTACATTGAGAAAATGGCAATCCCAGATAATTGTGAGAATACTGGAAAATATATAGCAGATGTGGGGAAAAGGCAACAGCATCGGAAAATAAAAGAACTCAAAACACAAGTTGAGAGAACTCTTTGGTTTGCTAATACCTATGGACTGCATTTGGAGTCTTTAAAATTATCTGACAATTCTGGTGCTGAATATGAATTGGAATTTACAGCCGGTGGAACCAAAAGAGTTATAAAGATTTACCAGAAACTGAAAAGCAGAAAGTTAAAGAAGGTCTTTTGATCCAGGATAAGTTTTGTGTGGGTGAAGCAGCATACCATGAGCTTTCCATGATCCCGGCAGGTCAAACCTTACCTCGGTCGTACCTGGTTAAACAGTGGAGGAATTCCTTGAATCAGTTGTGTCGCATCGAGCGAACACCTGCCATTCAGAGTTGTGGCATTTCTTTCAATGTCTGGGAGAAAACCGATGCCAATGGTCGAGCAAGTGGAATCTATGATTTCACTAGTCTTATGAGTACCGATAAGAAACTTTTACTTGAAAAGTTGCCAGCAAAGCTGAATGGTGTCATCACTCCTGCTACATGCAATGAAGTTATAAACCTTTGGAAGGTAATCCAGCAGTATTCCGACAGTATAGTTTTTACAACTTTATATGCAGGAACATATAAGCAGGGCTACCCCCCCCCCCCCGGCAAAATTATTGGCCCATTCTGAGAACATTTGGCTTTAAAAATATATGTTCCTAATTAGGCTCAGTACAGCAAAATTGTAGGGTGAAAACGCAGGAAATAGCATTTCAAGGGTTCAAATTCTAAAATTCTCTGGGGAAACCCACCTCTGGTTT